GCCATTGCCATCCGTCACCCTGCACCGCTGCCTCCTAGGAGGAAAGCAGGTGCAATGGCACGGGGTGGTAGGTGGCGGCATGGGGCAGTGGGTGGTCGCAGCCACGTGTGAGGCCTTCTCTCCCTACCGCGTGCGACCTCCCCCGCATCTGTCCGCTACCACCAGAAGGTATACACTTGTTAAGAAAAAGGTTGAAAATCCCAGATTTTAGTCCAACTCCATGCTCAAAGCAGGATAATCCCCAACCAAATCACCCCAGCCAAGGTTTAATACATCACCTCTCTACACAGCTTTCTTTAGCAAGTAAAGAACATACATTATTGAGGAGGCAGACCCCTATGTTCAATATGAAGGAACCACTTCCTTTTTTGTGTCCTTGTGACAAGGTATTGAGCAGGATTCACAGATTCAATGGAATCTGACAGGCCGCGCTGTGAGCGCTTCTGCTACGGCCTCAAACTTGCAACCACTGGGCTGTCAATCATGTGGTTTAGTGCCCGCCCCACTCCAGCCCCTGAAGAACCACTGATGTCAGTGAAACGATGCACAGAAAAAAGAAAGTGTGTGCAAGCATAAAATTGTGACAAAGGATTAGATTTATATTTAAATACAGGCAACCCCCGCTTAACGCGGTTTCACTTAATGCTATTTCACTATAGTGCTCATTTAAAATTAATACTCGATTTTGCTTAGCGCTGAGCCAGTTTCGTTATAGCGCTCAGCGAAGCAGCAGTGGAGGTGAGAAACGGCAAGTGGCAGCAAGTGGGCGGGCAGGAATGAGTGCGGGGCCTGCATGGGTGCCGCATGGCCAGGGCTGGCAGGGACCCAGGACGGGTCAGCAGGAGTGGGGTACTGGGCTGGCACAGTGCTGGAGTGGCTGGTGGACAGAGGGGATGGGGAGAAGCGGCGGCAGTGAGAAGCAGCGAGTGGGGGGAGGCATGAGCGCGGGGTGTCTGCCAGGGCCGGCGGGGGCCCAGGGTGGAGCTGCAGAAGTGTGGGGCCGGCTCATGGGGCTGGAGCAGCTGGCGGAAGGCAGAGGGGTGGGAAAAGGCAGCAGTGCTGAGAAGCTGCAGCAAGAAGTGGTGGTAAGTAATTATCTCTATTTACATTAATTCCTATGGGGAAATGGGTTCTGCTTAACGCTTGAATTTTCCGGAACCAATTAAGAGCGTTAAGCAAGGGCTGCCTGTATTTGTATGTTCCCTAGTTACAATAACATTGAACAGAATGGAACACTGCATATGCTCACAAATGGACTCCTGACCATGGAAACTGGATTTGTGCACTTTCTCCCTTACCTTTTTAAATGCTTCAGGCATACACCTGTCCATAAATCTCTTGCAATTCTCATCGGAATCAGAAAGGCCTTTTCAAAAAGGAAAAAAAGGTATAAATCTCATGATAACCTCCAGCTGGTTTGGTCTGAGCTGTTTAGAACATCAGCAACAAACTACTGGGCTTTATATATAATCTGTGCTATAATTTTCAAGGAACAGGGGTCAAAAAAACCTGATCTCAGGCCTTCTCCAAACCAGAGGTGTTTTAGTTTCCAACCATTCTGACTTGTACAACTTTACTTTGAACGCAACATCAACAATATGTTGGCACTAAGTTTTCCTGTCAACAGAAACTATGATTTATACAAATAACAGAATATTTTTCTGCCTTCCAGATTCAGCCAAGAACAAACCTGCATACAGACCCATGTTTTTTAATTTTTTTTTGCCTGCTATAACACTTTATATCTCTGCAACCAGCATAACTTCCTTTTAAATCTGATAGAGACTATAATGGAAGACAAGCTTAAGCTTTTTTAACCCAGGAATCAGGCATGTTGCCTCCACAGCACACACTGCCCTGGACACTTGAGTAAATAGGGAAGAATCAAGTCCGAGTATATGACAAGCAATAATGTATTTCCATTAGGATACCCAGACAAAATAACCAGTTATACATGCTGAGTAGTGCATGATCAATAAAGAGCAAGATCAATTTAATGTATTTAAAACAAACAAAAGCAAAAACAAAAAACAGTCAATTCTGGTTGCATTAAGTAATATAAGGATACAAGAGTAATTCCAGAGAAGTTATTTCAGTTTATGAATGCGGTGCCTTACTCGCGGATTTTGCCATTCATGGGGGATACGAGAACGTATCACCCGCAAATGGAGAGGGTCTCCTGTCTTTATTCCATTCTTTGACAGACACCCAAGCAAATTAAACTTAAAACCCTCTTTGCAGCACTAATACGATCAGAAAACAGAAGAAGTTAGCTACTTTATCAGAAATATACGTGTATGACTCCAGGCAAATAAGTGCTAAATTAACATGAAAACTGAAAATGCCTAAAGTATATTCTCTTCATACGTATCTGCTGAGCTTCCTAACAAACATCAGGGCCACATTTTTTGGGGGACAGGGTCGAGGAAGGGGAGAAGAGAGAGAAACTGAACTTACCAAGCCTTGCTAAGCAGGTAGATGCAATTAGGCACTTGCCTAGTGATTCTTCACGCTTGTAAGGTATGGACCAGTGATCTGTTAAAACTCTGCTCTCCAGTTCATACAAATTGGTTGTAGGAAACTCAATACCCTCTTCAGGGCAATTCCCATTTTCATCATTTTTCTGTGAATGAAAAGAGGTTCAAATACAGAATCATTTCTAGATGCTCCTAGTGATTAGTCAACTCCTTTAAAGAAGACCGTAGTTTTCTCCTATCATATTAATCATGTACGACACCAATTTCAACTGAGGATCTCTCTCTTTTTGAGAGAAGAATTTGAAACTTCTATCAAACACCCAGATACAGGGATTGCACTTTGCTGGATACCTTCTTGCAGTTCACATATTTAAAATATATATATATTTCTACAATACTTTTTTTCTAGGATTGCCAGCTATCAATTTTCTCATTGATCCTATGATATCCATTCATTTCCTTAACTGACCAGTTCCTGAAAATTCACCTAAGTTGGCAAACTTCTGTACTTGCATTTGCAAAGAGCCTGAAAACAGAAACCCTAGGACTTTGAAAACATCAGAAGGCAAATGAAAACGTTTTTAAACCAGTCTCAGTTTTGGGGCCATGTCTCATGATTCTTGAACTCCGAAGTTAGTTCATCCTGATTTAATTAATATGCAACAATGTGAGCTTCCACAGGTACACCCCAAAACCATCCTTCACACACACAAAATATTTATATTTAGCCTCACAATCCATGCAAACAGTCCTACAAAGTGTGAAAACTAATACTGTCATACAAAACATACTGTACCCTTTAACAACAGATTAGGGAACAAAATCACCGCAGATTATGTATAAAGGTAACATCATTTTGACATGAAGTACCCTGGATCTATCAAGAATTTTCAAATTTCTTTTCAGTAATTCTCTACTAAATATTCCCTGCAAAACATCTGACTGGGCAAGAAACTATTATTTTGATGCAGTTCAGAAGCATGATTTTCTCATCCAACCATTTCATGAAATAAAATCAGTCTTAAGTACAAGCTAATCAATTATTTAATGCAGTGATTTATTCAAAGAAAGTTAAGTTTCAAATGGCTGCCCAACAAGAAATATAGGGGTGTTTTGCAGTCTAAATGAATCAGAAGAAAGTATTGTATTTCCCTATCTCCCTCCTGCCCAGGACAAGAAGCAGCCCGAAGCTTAGCTTTAGCCATGTCCTTGTAAATGCCACTGAATGGCAATTATTCCTCCTGTACAGAGAACACAAAATTAGCCTGACACTTTGTTAAATGCCATATGAGGTAACTGTGTAAATGGTGCCAGATGAAATAGGAGGCTGGAGAGACAAGTTATCCATTTCTTCTCTCATTTCATTTCCAACCTCACACGGGTGCTTGGTCACCCAATGAGTAACAGGGTTTACATGGAGGAAGTCTTTCCCCCTGACATTAAAAGAGCACACAAAACTTCTTTTAAAAGGAAAAAGGACAGAATGTTTGGATCACATTTGGCAGCAATTGGTAATAACTGTCAGAGAGAGAGATGAAAACAGAAGTGCAGTGATAGCAACAAGACCTCAGTACGGACAGAAGCCAAGAACACGTAGGGAGGAAGGACAAGCAGGAAGTATATTCAAGTGTAAGAAACACAGTGTCAGGGAAGTGAAAGGAGTAAAAAGAAAAGAATAAATCAAAAGAAAGCAACTGAACCCAGGAGGAAGTGCTAAGCAAAGAATAAAATCCATTAAAGTAAATCAATGAGCTCCCAGTCTTCCCACTGCATTCACTATTTGAAGGGTCTGACCCACTACATTAAAAATAATCATTCTGCATCAATTATAACAGCGATTCAAAAGCAGTTAGTTTAGAAACAGACTCAACTTGTACACAGCTGACCTACAGCGTGCACTGAGCCCCAGTGGTCAAAGCCAAACAGAACAGGATTGATATTAATATTTGGAGTTAGAGACTCCAGAGTAAACAAGCCCTGTGATTCAGGGAATAAACCTGTCAACAGTCTGGAAGTAATGCCGCCTCCCCCACTACATCCAACTTTGCTCTGCAGAGCTAACAAAAAAATACTGAGGCAATGTTGTGCTTTCTTTGAAGCTTTGGATACTGATAGCTGCTGTGCTGTAGCCCGATCTAGCACGGTGAACGTATCCTTACGTAATCTTTGTCTAGCAACTAAAACACACATTTACAATCTCTAGTTCTTGGGTAAGAGGTGTTAGAAAGTCTAAATAAATTTAGTCCTGATGAAAGGCATAAACTGATGACATGCATCCTCCAACATGCACAGCAACATTCAAATTACCAAATCAATTTAATATTTGGTCTCTTCTAAAGCTGCCAATAGGATGCAAAACTGGTGTCAAGTTTAACCAAGGATTTACTTGTTTAGCATGAACACATATCCACTAGGAAACAGATTAAGAGATTTCATTCCATGTAGACTGGAAAAGCTAGTAAAATTAGACTCTCCCCTGTACTATTAAGGGGAAGATTATTAGTCCAATAAGAAGCAAAGACTCTGGTCACAGGATGCACACATTTGACACCAAAGTAACAACTGTATTGAACTGGAGCTGTAATGAATTAAAATGACATTTTAGTAGATGGTTTATGTGGCATGAGCTGGGGTCTCTTCATTTTCTACTGGATAGAGGGCCATTTTACATGCATTAATTCACAACTGGCACCTGTTTGCAGTGTGCTGGCTTGGCTGCACTGCTTTACTACATTTCAGATGTACTGTCTTTTATACTTCCTTCCCCTAAGAGCAGCAACCTTTTATGGTCACTCCCCGTGCCATGTCTCCACTGATCCCCTCCTACCGCTTAGCTGTGTTGAGTGTTACTATTATATATCCCCTCCCATGCAACTTCTGCTTTCTTACTGCATGCCACTGATAAAATGTGACCCAGCAGAACTGATGGATTCAGCAGCAAGGGAAAAATAAGTAAGCAGCCCTCAGCACAGAGCAGAGGGCTGGATAAGTAGCAGGTATCCTGGGAACACAGAATGAGGCCCCTTTAAAATTGGTCTCCAGGGCTGGTGCACTCAGCCCTGTGTCACTGATCCCTCACCTCCCCCATGCTGCAGGCCAAATCCAAGCCTTATGGACAAGGTGATAGGGACGGTAGGTGGGGTATTGGTAAAGCTGCTTTTATAACCTATTCCATTCTTTTATAAAGAGGGAGTGCACCCTCAGTATATTTCCAATTCAAAAAGGCAAACCATCCTTGAATACATGACTTTTTTCTGCTGCTAAAACCATGCCTTAGAAGATATCATCTTAATTATAACTGTGGATTACAAGGTACAAAAGCATCCTACAATTGATATTAAACTTACTGCAGTCTTCTGTAAGTGCAGACTGCTTAGAAGTCTAACTCCATTTCCATTCCATAATACTGAAACATTTCAGATGCTGCGTTCATGAGAGATTCAAGTGATTGACCTTACAATAGATTTAACCTTGTGTCTTACAACACACCTAAAATGAGTAATTATTTTCTCCTGAAAAGTATTGCTGCTATTCCCATGAGATTTCTACACCAATTTAAGCTGTTCATTGTTCAACTTCTAATAAAATGAATGATAAAAAATGCTCTAGAAAAGCAAAGGCTTAAAAACAGCAGATGAGAGAGCTAGGTAACCTGTAGAAAGGCACTAGGCAAGCTTTCACATCATTTCAAATTGAATCAGCAACAAATGTGTGTTTAGGAGCTCACTCTTGTCATTTGTGCCTGTTAAAACAGTCACAGCTGGGAAGAGTTCGCCACAATTTGCAGCATGTAGTGGAGAGGCTCAGAACTGATACTGCCAATTCTAGGGCAGCAGGTCAAGGTTGAGGTGAATAGACTTGTACAGAAACACAGTAATTCACAAGGCAAAATAAACTACACTCCAAAAACACCATGCAGCCACTCTGAGACACAGGAACATAACAGTCATCCCTTTGCTTCAAACAATGGTCTAATTCTGTTACAATAGGATTAAGAAAATCTTCAACATGCTTTTGGAGACGTGCACAGATCAGGACAAGAACGGTCAGTCACGCTCTTGATGAACTTTACATACAGCCAGTGTTTCCAGTACTGTTATTTTGAAATGCTGAGTAAAGCAAAGTGATGAGGCCTTTGTACTTTTGAAGGAATCCCTAATGATTATTGCACTAAGATAACAGCAGTAGGGATTCAAGATTAACTCCCCAATCACACAGGTTATGCAGGCAGTCTTATACTTTCATCTTAGAGACCTTTATAGTAACTTCTGTTCCAAGATTTAGGATTTCAGATCTAAAACAAACCAGAGTTCGATTGTAATACAAGAAAGTTACTGCAACTGTTTTTAACAAGAACATTTTCCTGTTTTAAGGACTGAGACAGTGGAGATAATGAAACATTTAAAGCTGAATTTATTTTAAATACTGGAGCTATGGGTATTGTTACACTAAGCTTTTTCTTAGCAGGTATTTGTATAGGGATTCCCAGTGTAATTTCCATAAAATAGCAACATAATGTGTCTAAGGGTATTCTACAGTCTAGTATGAAAGGTAGCGTAGAGATGCCTGTTCCAGCAGATATCAGAAGCATGGCAGAACCTGCTGTGGGTGAGTTGGCCTGCACTGACCTCTGTGCTTCTGCAGACAGACAGCAACCAGTACTTTTTGGGTACCTCTCCACTGTACTGCAATCTGTAGTATTGATCTCATGAGTCAGGAAGTTTGATACGGATGATTCTCCAATAAAACATTTTATTCACTGGTAAAGGAAGCAAAACTTTTCTAGAGTGATGAGCAAATTCAAACCTGAGCCATACAGCAACGATAAAGTCCTTGCACTTGACATGCTGAAGACCTTGGAGAGAGAAACTCCTAAGGCAAGCAAACAAAATTCATACACCTTATGAACTGAGAGTAAGCTAAAGCCACCTCAGCCGTTGAGTTTACAGGTCATTTCAGAATCATCCAGCCATTGACCATTTCTACTCATGCGGCCAAGTGTCCATTAGCAAGGGCTCTGTTCCCAGGATCTCTCCACCCTCTGGCTCTTTGCCTGCCTACACTCTCAGCTCTTACTCTAAGTGCTCACAACACTGTGGGGGCTGACTCACTCATGAATTCAGGCCATGCTAGTATCTTATTTTTC